AACATCTTTATATCTCCCAATCCCCATATTTCTACTCCATACATAACCCCCGCCTTCACAATTGAATCCATAAGGAACAGCCTATCCTCCATGATATTTCTCCCTGCCCTTTTCCATATTCCCCATACCATTAGAATAATATTTATATTTTTTAACCATAAATTATTTTTTTACTTTTTTTTATTTTAACTGACATGCTTTAAAACACCATTTTTTTCTTTATTTAACCATAAATTATACTAATTTACAGCAACCTCCTTATGTTTTGCGGAAAATCAAGTTTACACGCAAGAAACTGTCGCCGTCGTAATACAACATTTAATGGAAATGACACCTTTACCTACGTTATTAATGCGTACGGTTATACAAAGCTTAGCCCTTTATCCTAGACTTAGTGGTTTTGTTATGAATATACTTCAGCGTTTGATAGTTAAACAAGTATGGAAACAACCAAAAGTTTGGGAAGGTTTCGTTAAATGCTGCGAACGTACAAAACCACAAAGTTTTGCAGTTATTTTACAGTTACCATCAGCACAATTGCTTGAAGCATTAAAAATGGCTCCAAATTTAAGAGCACCTTTGCTATCTCATGTTGAAGCATTTACTGAAAATCAGGTAATTTTTATTAATTTACATCTAGTGCTGATAGTTCTCTTTTATATCTATTACTATTGCTTATTAACTATATATTTATTACAGAAAGCACACATTCCACAATCTATAATGGATATTATACAAGGCAAATCATCTTGTGAAATGCATGATGAATTTGATATTGTAAATATATTTTTATATTATATAATTTTATTTATTAAAAATAATTATTATCTAATAAGTATATAAAAATTTTTAATTTGCACAGGCACCGCCTGGTGATTATCCAGGTGAACAAAAACCAGATACAACAGAAACAGATTTATCAGAACCAGCTCCCCCTGGTCTAGACTAGCATAAATTTATTTCAACTTCAGAATCTGAAACATCTTCATTAAAATGTCTTAATTTTAATGAATTCTCATTATGAATCATAATTTATTTTTATCATAAAATATTTTAGTTATGGTATCCTATTTTATAACATAATATTAATATTCTTTTATTCAGGCGGAATTGTTTTCATAATTGGCAGTAAAAATTTGTCTGTATATATTATATATATAAAACGAAACAAACAAACAAAATGCACTTTATTTGTACCCATAATATTGTGCTATGTTGGTTAATATTTTATGCCACGGAATATACTTTATATTTTATGGAATTCTTCATATTTATCAGATCGTAAAATGAATGGATGTACAGTAGATGATCGGTTAACGAACATAACTCATTCCAAAAAGATGTTTGTTACCCAATCATCAATTTAGTATAGATTTTTATGTGAATTTGATTAATTAGTTTTAAAGACCCAACAAAATAAATATAAGATTATATACATAATTTTTTACAACGTTTATTTATATGTAATAATAATCATACATATGTACACATTACATTTGAATGAGCCGCCCGGATAACTCTTCAAGGACATCAAATTTTTCTTTCTAAAATGTTTTTAATGTCATTGTTGAAGAGAACTGGCATGCTTTAAAACACCAATAAAACCAAAGAGTAGCTAATTAGTCAAATAATAAATAGAAAACTAATCAAATTAGTTTTTATCATGATGAATCTTTCTTTTACATGTTTTCTGAAAGAATAATATTTTATTAAATTTTTCGATACATATATATATATATATATCTATGAATATTAATTATTAAATAATTTATAATCGGGAATATAATTTTATTATTTAAATAAAAATATATTTATTTAAATGAAGAATATTTCATAATTAATTTAAAATCAGCTGTTTAGTAAGCATTAGTCTTAAATTCAAAGTGGGGTGATGACCTCCTTAATATAGCTAGCTAGAATGACTGAAAGATTTAGTATTATTTTTGAACTTGACAAATAAACATCGAAGCTCTCTTCTTTCGTGTAAATACAATTTATAAATTCATAATTTCGATTAATTAAACTAATAATTAATTAAATTATTGTCTAAAAATTTAGACAATATTCTTCGTTTGTGTACTATATTAAACTGTCATTTAAAACATAATTTATTTGTTTAAACACACATTAGATCGCGTATAATAAAGGGTTATTGTAAAAGAATCTTAATTTAATATATCGATTCGCGTAAATATCGAAGTTTTAAATAGTAAAATTTTTCAACAACATTCCAAATTTTGTTTTGTCTCTAGGAAATACATTTTTTAGAATATTGATACAGGAGATCAATCTAATCATTCGATTTATCACACATAAATAAGAGAGTATTGAGTATATTTTACAAAACGTACATTGTATTTAAGAATTAAACCAAATTCTCACTGAGAGGTTGTTTCATTGTTACCCAAGGCATAAGCTTGATAACAAATATCAAGTTTAAGATTATTAAGATTGAACATTTTAATCTAATGTTTTGTCTAAATGATTATAAATTGTACCAAATATTCATGATATATGTAAATTTAAAAAAATAGAATAATAAAATACATCTAAATTTGTTTTGATTAATAATAAAAAGTAAATATGCCATGGTACGTTGGAACAATATAGAAATTATTTGTCTATTATCCAAAATCAACTCCAGTATCTAGTAAGTCTCTTAACATGAAAGAAACTTTCTTTGGCAACATTCTATAAATAAAAACAAAAAATATTTAATATTAAAATTTGATCATATGACACTAAGTAGTACATATAAAAATATATAATGAATATTCAGAAATTACCTAAGTGCAAGTCCAATGTATAACAGGTATCCTGGTATACTAAATTCTGTATAATTTCTACGAACACCATTTAAAATTTTTTTAGCTGCTTCTGAAGCAACCATTGTTCCAAAATAACTAGGTATCCTTTAATAAAACGAAAACAAAATTATCTATCTTTTAAAATCTATTTTCAATATTAGGATGTTAAAACAATGTAAAATTAAAAAAAAATCATACCTAAATCGAATATCTTTTACTAATTCTACTCCAACAACAAATGGGTATATATGAACTAGAGTAATAATAATATTACTATTAGAGTGTCTTAATTCTGTATGTAAAGATTCTGCTAGACCTTGAATTGCAAATTGTGCAGCAGATAAAGGAATACATCCTTTACCACCTGTAATACCAGAGAATCCTGCTACAAAAAACAATTTATTACATAAATTGTATACGAATTGTAAAAATAATTTGTCTGTAATACCAGAAAGTCCTGCTACAGAAGATAACGCTACAATGTGTCCTCTCTCTGCTCGTTTCATACTTGGCAACACTGACTCTAATAACTAAAATATAAATTATACAATTTTTTAATTATATTATATGTAATAATTTAGCTTGGAGAAAATAATTTCTATGTATACGATGAATTAAATATAGCTATTATTATTTACCCAAAAATGGCTGAGAACTGAGATGTCAATTGTTTGTCTTATTTTTGGTGGATCTCGTATTAATGCATGCGGACTAGGAAAACCACAACAATGAAACAGCATTGTGATTTCACCCATTTCTAAGACAATTTTTGTTACCGTAGCAGTTACCTACAAAAGTATACACATATTATGAAAATCATAGTATATCTATAAATGCGTTAATATACACAGTAAATAATATGTACTTGATCTTCATTCGTCACATCACAAATATATGATTTTGCATTGCCCGATAATTGTATAGCACGTAGTACAGTCGCCTTACAATTTTCAGCATTGATATCCACACAAGCGACAGTCACACCTAATTGGCTTAATTGAATAGCTATTTCTTTGCCTACTCCTCTTCCAGCTCCAACAACCTAAATTATAAAATACAATATTAATAAAATATTTGAAATATAATTATGAATAACAGATATTTTGAGATATATATTTTATAAATATTATTACTATTGCTATTTCTCCATTAAGACTTTTTAACGATAGTGGTCTAATAGTTCGATATAAAGAAACTAAAATTGTAAAACATATCCCAAGTGATAGCGTTATAAGATCTAATGCAAGAACAAACAGTGAATATAATCTGATGAACATTTTTGTTGGTCTGCAATTTTCTATGCCTTTTTCTGTAAATATAAAATTTTAATTTTAGTAAATACTTTTACACTAGTAATTATAATTTAGTATTAAATGTAATATATATAATGTGTTAACTAAATTAAAATTACATTCGTTGGATCAAACATTATACCTTATACAAAACACTGAAATGAAATATACTCTGATAAGATATCAGCTCACAATTCGGCTTTTAACTGCTGCATCGTGATTATTAAAGTTTGAAATTTTTCCATTCGTGTCATACATAACCTAATAAAATTAAGATAAGTACAATTAATTATTATTATGATAAATTATTGTACTTGTTATACATATATAATTCCTAATACATATGAATACATAATAATAATTGATACTTGTTACAATAATATATGTTAAAAATACAAATAAATATAATATAATTAAATAGCATATAGATCATTTTATCGTTAGTTATTCATTAGAATATACCTTTGTATATAATATGTACGTTATACATGAACACTAGCAATATAGGGTGCGTTCCACTAAGCGCTCACAACGATCACGCTCACGACCACAGTTTCTCCCGTTCCACTTACCTACGAGCGTTACTGTCGTAAATTCAAGTGGAATGGACTATGGTGCGTTTTGAGCGTGGAGGTAATAATACAAATGGCGAGGTAGTGAAAAGAAAGTAAAAGATTAAAGAGGTTAAGATTTAATCTGTAATCCTTCATGTCAGTTTCACGGNGCTTCGCGTGAGCGTTAGTAATGACGTCATGAGTGACGTTTTCGCCGCGACCACAACGACCGCGGTCGTTATGTGGAACGACTAAAGGAGCATTTTGATCGTTGTGAGCGCTTAGTGGAACGCACCGTAAAGGAGCATTTTGATCGTTGTGAGCGCTTAGTGGAACGCACCCTAAAGGAGCATTTTGATCGTTGTGAGCGCTTAGTGGAACGCACCCATAATGGTAAATATTATCTGGTGGGATCAAGTAAGTCTTTGTCAGTATTATGCATTTAACCCACAAATATGAATCATTACATTTGTAATACTTATTTACATGAAAATTTATTTAAATTACTATATTCAATTTAGTATAGTATTATCCTAATTACTATGAATGATGTATCTGTCTTGTTGTAAAGAAATCTTATTAAAAAAGAAAGCTTTTTCGTATAATAATTTTAAATATATTTTTTTCAGAATCAAAAATGGCGCGGCAACGTGTTCAAATTCAAAAATGATTTGATCAACAACCTTGGGTAACTAAGCAACGAAACAGTTTGTATAATAAATAATTTTTGCTACTCGTTTATTATATCATCTCATGATTGATTTTTAATATTAGAAGTGATGTACTTTATATTAATATAATTTTCGAAATATTACTCAAAAGTTTCTGTATATTGTATAATTGTATATTGTTCTTTTTATACAAGAATGGTATCTGTAGAATCAGAAAAAGATGAAGTAATTACGGACCTAATTCCTGGTCCTCCGATAGAATATGAAAAACGACAGAGGTAACATTAAAAATATTATGTTAATATTAAATTAAAACTAAAAAAGATATTCCTTTTTTTTTTTGAAAACTTTCCATCATTTACTTTTTACTCTTTTTTTCTTAGATTGTATCATGTATTTTTAATGTATCGGTTTTAGAACGATGGTTTTATTTTCTTTGAAGGTATATTTCTAAATATAATGAACCTATAAAAGAAGAAATCAAAAAAGAAAAATATGCACACCGTACATTTGGTTTACCACAAGTACCATTAAAATTACCATCTCAATATTTGAAGAAAAGAAGCCGGAAAGAATATTGCAAAACAGATGTAAAACATGTACATATTCGTGATCCAGAATATCAACGAAAGTTACCATCGTGGGTGCCAGTAAAAATGGAAATAAAAGAAAAATGTGGAGAGTTGCCTGTTGATCCTGTTAAATTAGGTCGTATTAATTTTAAAAAACAGAATATTATTGATGTAAAGAAATCTCAACCTTTTATTTCTAAAGAACGATATGTAGATACACGGTACGGAGATACTCATGATTTAAAATCTAGTGGATTGTATCCTATTTATATACATAGGAAGGTATTTTATTTCTATAAGCACATGTAATATGAAAATAATTAACAATTCTTTTTATTTTTTATTATTAAAATTTATTCATTTATAGGGATTTGGAAAAGTTCCAAAAAGTGTAAAGAAAATAAGATGTGAAGTAGTAGATAAGGAATTAAGAGAAGATAAACCAAGTGATCATTGTATCGATGAACCTAAATACCATTGTATCTCAGAAGAAGAAAGAAAAGAACTTTTAGATGTATGGATGTATCAAAATTATTGATATTATAAATATATTTTTGTATTAATAATTATCTTTTTATTTTAATAGGGAATGAAAAGAAGATGGGACGAAATGATGAAACAATTTCAGTCTTTACCATTTATAATTGATACTCCGCCAAAAGTGCAAAGAAAGGCAAAACTGGAACATGAATTACAGCAACTTGAGAAAGATATTACAATTCTTGAAAGACACTCTTACATATGTGTTAATAATGATGATGAAAATGAATGAAAAAAAAAGCAAAACAGTACATTAATAAGTATTCAAAAATAAGTATGCGAAAGGCTACATCATTGATCATATTTTTAACTAACTGAGAAATATTTAATATATAAATTTTTTTTTAATTTTTTAATAAACAAAGTATGCAAAATAATAATTGTTAGTCAAAAAGAGAACGGACAAAATACACAAGTATTAATAATATAAATGTTTTTTATTTTATTAATATTATTATTACATAATAGAGTAAATATCATTAATAAAACAAATTCCTGAACGATCACTAAAATCGTATTGTAAAAAAGTGGTGAGTTGTGATGAGAAGGTGTTGTAAAAAAATTGTTCAAACCCGTAAAATGGAGAGTAATAACAACAACTATTACTATACAATAATAATCAAATCATGTCCCAATTTTCATTAGTACTAGCAGTTTCATCTTTATCATAATTAGCTATCGAAGAAGATTCTTCCTCAGTTTGCTGTTCTTCTGTATATGATGAGTTTTCAAACATTTCAGAATCTTGGTTTCCTGATAATTCTAATAAGGATATTTGGGGTTTTGATAAATTTCTTGCATATAATATCGAATCTTGTTTATCTAGAAAACGACCATCATATAAAGCAGGTATATTACAAAACAGACATAGTACTTCTTCATATTCTTGGTCTAAGCAGGGATGATACACTTTCCCACATATTGGGCAAATTCGATATTGTAGGCTTGGAATTTGAAGAAGGGTTAAAGCACATCTAGATAATATATGTCCGCTTGGACATTGATTAGTTTTCCAAGGTAATTCAATAATCATTTCTTCGCATAGATTACATGATTCCAATTTTAATTTAAAATGAGATATTTTATTTAATGCTTCTCGTGCATGTTTTGTTATAATTGATTCTTCTTCTCCCTCTTCACCAGCAAGATAAATTTCCAAATACATTCTTAACAGGTTTGCAGACATTTCCTGATCATTTGATAAATGTGTTTTATTTACTAAACGATCAAGATATGCACACGCACAATGAATAAAAATTAGTGATTGAATTTCTGCTATTTCTTTTTCATATTCGATTTCTTGAATTACCTTTTTCTTTGTTAATGCTTCAGTCATAAGTGACAGCCACATTGATATTTTTAATTCATATAATGGAATGGAATCTAAATTTTGTGGTACTTTAGGTAACACACTCGTTGGATCTGAAATGTTAGCAGCTTTGAGTCTGATTAATTCGAGACAATCCCAAGGTAAGTTTGAATTTTTATTGCTATAAATTTGTATTATATTCTTTGGATCCCATTCTTTTCCATTTAAGGATAATATGTATAATGTACTTGGTTCTCTATTTACTAAGTGATCAAATATACTATTAGGACTTGTTACAGTAATTAACATGGCATGATTAGGAGAACAAGCAAGACCTAAATATTGAACACGTGCCCGAGGTAATTTATAATTTATTGGAATACTTTTTAAGTTATTTTCTTGCGTATCAAACGTATACATCATGCCATTTTGTGTGGTAATTAAAACACGTTCAGGACCAATAACAGTGATTCCTAAAAGTAATAGTTTATGATTTTTAATTTACTGAAATTTTAATTTTTATTCTATTTTAAAAGAGAGAGAGATATTTAATTAAATATGTATATATACCTGAGATTGAAAATCCTTCTATTTGTAAATAATGTGTAGACATTAATTTACCCGTGCTAGTCAAGCCAAACAGTAGGATAAAGAAAGTTTTACAAGCAATAAATTGCATTCCATTTTCATTTTGTGAAACCATAAGTAAAGATTTGACTACGATACGATCTGAATAATTATAATATTTTTCTACTCCTGTATTTTCTAAACATTTATTATCACCATTATACAGAAGACCTTGGATTTGGCCATTACAGCATCCAATAATAATTAAGTACATGTTTGGTTTTATAGTACACCATAGTAATACATTTATTTTTGTGTCCATATTTAAATGTACTTTAGATATTATGGTTGGTGTTACATTCTCAGTAGAATGAGTTACTTGATCAATTTTCCAAATCACTACATCCGAACTACGAAAAGCAGTTACAAAGTATGCATAATAAGTATTTTCTAATTGAAATAATTCGCTCCATGTCATTGCACAAGCTTGCAGTCGTCTAAGATTTTCTTGTATGCTTATAAAACGTGATTCTTCATTTTCACAATTATTAAGATTAGATTTAATACTATCTTCAACCGTTTGTAACCATATAGATGAAATATTACATAAGGAATACCAAATTCTTACATTATATATTTTATGTGAAAGTTCAACAGCACCGACAGAAGTTATTATTGCAAGTATAGACTTCCTAGGATGGATTAAATTTTCTGGCGACCACGATACATCAATTATCCTTGGTAATACATCGGCTGCATCATTGATTTTAGGTGCCAAAGCAGCCTCTAGTAAGAGCGAATATATTTCTCTGCGTTTTATATTCCATGTCAAGGAAGTTATTTCATTAATAAATGTGTGTGCAGGCAAATAATCAGGAGCATATATAAAAGACCATGAAAATGTAGCATTTGGTTGAGGATTCTCCAAAGAAGGTACTAATTCCTAAAAATATGTGCATTAAATCAATGAAATTTCAAAGTATACTTTTATTTCATTTAATGCACATGCACTACAATTATTAGATATCTATTCTAAACATTTTCACTAATATTATAGATTCAAATGAATACATTCAGAATAGAACATATACATATGTATATATTTGTTTTGTATTTGTTATATATCATTACATTTTTGTTATTAATTTTATACTTACTAATACATGAACTCCTTCTTCTGTAATAACAGATATATAGTTATTCGGTGTCCATTGAATTGCAAATAATGTAGTGACCAATGGAGCAAAGGGTATATTAGAAATTTCTTCTATTGATATCATATTACTTGAAAATTAATGATTTACTTAATGAAATAAATGTTACTTTATTGTTTTTCATGCAATATAGACATATGTAAAAATTTAACGAATAACTTTGATAAGGAAATACATGAAATATACTGATTGAAAGATTCAATAAATGAGTTTTAAGTAAAATTAGGTTAGAAATGATAAAAAAATAACATTTAAATGCTATAGACATATGAAGTTGGTATCGATATATCGTTTGATGAATAGTCACGTGATATTTTATCGATAGTGACGGTGATTGTAAAACGAGTTAACGACAACTTCAGGCATATCTTCATCCTTTTCCATATATATAGCAGGAAGCAAAACAAGTATGTTGTATTGTAAAACGTCATGGCATAATTTTCACTTCATTCATGCCGTGACCATCTGTGTATCGTGCAGTTTTCGTTTCGGTGTAACTTGATTGTTCCAAACAGGCGCGAAACGTGAAATTAAAGATTTAGAATAATTAAAACTTTATCGACAAAATAAAGTTATTTTAATTATCAACAATCATGGCAATTGATAAAGGTTTCATAAATGTTATAGTACTAAGTTTTGGTTTCATGATGGTGTTTACGGCCTTTCAAACTATGAGTAACATCGAGGTGAGTTTACCACGTGACCGTAATACTTGTGGCATTTCGATTTTCTATCGCGCGCTATTGCGTCGTTGTTCTTACGTTGAGTTTTATATTTAAACATTACCTTTGATCAAATATATATTCTTATGTTTAAATAAGATTATTTCGTGGCATTTAATAGCAATCAACAATTTTTAATATCATTTTTTAATATTTTTATCTTATCCGTTTATATTATATTTATCACAAAGACGCAACAGATTTTAATTAAACAACGTTGTTCTATATTGAAAGGATCACGAAGCATTAAAGTCACAACGAATAATTTATTTACATGAGACTGAAATATCGAAACACCTGTTGAACATTACGGAACGAAGGAATAATTATTACAAAATTATATTCTGTCATAGTCGTAATTTATTTAAGTCATTAATATAATAATAAATAAATAAATTTTTTTTTCATAAATCAATTCTTTTCCTTATTGTTCATATAAAAGTATAAGAAGAAGATGTTGAATATAAGTTATACGATATATTCAACATTTTACGTGAAAAGTCTATGTTAAAAAATAAAATTCTTTCGTATTGATGTAATTTTGTTCTTTTACCGTTTCTTTGTTTTTTTTTTTTTATTATCAATTAGAAAAGAATATTATCTATTTCTAGTTGTTAGAATTATATTTTACAGTTGTATGTACATGTGTTTATTTTGTATGTAAAGTATTAATCTTAACAAGGCACTTGTGTACTTTTAAAATTTTTCCCTTTAACAGAAAATTTGTTATGATTTTTTTTTCCAATATTATTATATTTTACAATCGAAAATTAATTATCGGCTCTTCAAGTTTCAATTTATTGTTTTATTTGAGAGTATATTTTGTAATTTTTTGCAAGCTTTTAAAACAAATGAGAAAAACAAAAATTGATATCGTTTATCTAGCGATCAGAAAAAAACAATTGATTAGAGTTTTAACACAACAGTACATTCGATTCAAAATATTTCGAGAGAGAAAAGTATTTTTTTGAAATATACTATAATTATATATTTATATATTTCTTTTTTTATATTTTATATTACAAATTATTTTATGTGGTATTCAGTTAAAAGTTTCGTCCAAACAATCGCCACTTCAACACCGAATGTATTTTAATAATAATAACATAGTGTACAGTCACGAATTTTTATAAATTATATGATTACCATTCTTGCGGTTCTATAACTTCGTTATGTTCCGAGACAAGATAACTTTCTAACGTGAAATCGTTGTTGGTAAAAGTTTGAGCAAATTTTCACTATTAGCATAGTTTTACGAATACGTCCCGTTAATTTTCTAATAATTTAGCAATGTAAAAAACTATGAGAAATATTTTTGCAATTATGTTTGAATACTTCCTGTTATTATATATACAAAATTATTATTTAAATTTATAAACTTTTGTTTGAACATATATTATCAATTTAATAAAATTATCGGTTATTTTTTAATTTAATTGCAATTACATCCTTGAAACGTTTCTATTCGTTGAAATTCCAGATTTGATCTTCGTGTAATTCTGTGAATGAACATCTTGCAAATTTATTTACATTATGTTTTACACTTTATGTTGATGTTCTCTAGTCTTATTGTTAGATCGAATACAGACTGGAGCTTGAATGTAAAATGATCGTCAATTTACCAAGATCATATTATAATGTACTATAAATGCACTATAAATGCATCCAGACACGCTTTCAATTCACGTACATAAACGTATATATAGTATTACTGTATTGCCAGTTGTATCGGTAAAAAGATCGAAAAAATGTCACTGTGCAGATAATATTATTTTCTTTTTTTGATTAGGGATTTTATTCGTTTTACACATGTGCAATCATTTTCTCAAAAAAAGGAAGCAGAAATGTTAAGTCTCGTGCTAACAATAAAACATGCTATTTAATATTTTAAAACAAGAAGAAATTGTTTAATTTAATAATGTATTCTTAATAATATTAATTTTTAGAATAGATTATTTTTATTCGATTTATTTGTTTAAATTTTATACGAAACATTTTACGTGACGTAAAATGTAGTAAATTATTAATATATTTTGTTCTCTTTTTTTCGGGTTTATTATCAATCAATTTTACTTTATTTTCTATTTCTATTTTTTAAATAGAAAATGCGGCCAATGTGCGTTAAAGATATTTTCATATCGAGAATGCAATTATTGGTATATTCTTGACCGGTTTATGTTATTAGAACGTTATCGTTATATGAGAAAACTATGTAAAAATAAAATATCAATAGAAAAATAATCTAACAACGATTATTCTATTTATAGAAAAAAGTAGGTTAATCCTATTACTGAAGAATACAATTTTCAAAATTTTTCTATTTCATTATCGTTTGGAAATTATCAATTGTTTTTCGTAACATACAAGATTGTATATTCACTTTAAATAATAATTCATTGTAAAATAAATAGAAGTGATGTGAAAATTACACTTTTAGAAATTAAAAAAAATTTAGAATAAATAATATTAAAAAAAAAAAAAAATAATAATAAATTATATTTTCTTACGATGTATTTAAATATATTTAAAATAACGTTCATTATTTCTCTTATTGTTAAATGAGACTATTTTATTTTTCAATGATTTGAAATTTGATATGAAATGATTTGATATTGAAATATTTGTCAATGATCTATTATTTGCAATAAAACTCAATTTTACAATTAAGGGTTGTGAAATATCATTTATCTAAGAAGTTATTAAACAAGTTATTGAAAAGTTAGGTGAAAAAATGGGATTTTAAAAGATAAAATAAGATAAAACTACGCGAGTGCTTCAGATATCAAGTATCTCTTCAATATATTCTTTTGAGAACTAAACAAATGTTTGAATTGTTTGAATTTTATATTTAAACGTTTTTACGTCCCGTTTTTTGTACGCTTTTCGAATAGTATTATCTCTATTGAAATAAATATATGTAATTGACTAAATTTCTACTTTCATGGTTGTTAAAGTTGTACATAAAATTTTAGTAATATATACCGATCTTAATTGTGGCTTTTTTTTTTCCTGTTAACACGTTTTCATATTGAGTGATTAACATATCTCAACATTTAATTTTCCTAATAATTATATTTTCTTCGTAAGAAAAAATTCGTGTATTCGTTGTTAAAATAATTCTCGTTTATACGATCTATATAATATAATAGTACAATTAAGTGTGTATACATATGTTCGTTTAAGAACACGTGTTTTTTTATACGTCAGTGAACAAAAACCGTATTAATCCATTTATCTTGTTTTACGACACAAAATCGTATATTTTTATTATATATTAAATTAATCCAGTCAGTTATCATGGTTACTTTTTCCAATTGATCTTTTTTTCTTTTTTTTTCTAATATCTACAATTAAAAAATATTACTCCAGAAAAGTATGGAAAATTGTTTTTTTAAGTTGCAATAATTATCGAGTTTGTAAATTTTATTTTTATTCTTTTTTCTTTCAATCGATGATATATAGTTATTAATCGAGTAAATGGCTATATATATTATTCTTAACGAAATTAATTTATATTGGTATTATTTTATCAAAGCTAACATATATATGTATTTATTTATCTGTAGATAGTGATATGTTTATAGCGGGGGGTTTAGTGCACACGTTGAAAACGTTGATAGATTACTTCCTCATGGGCAAAATCATCGTAGATTCTTTATGAACAATTTTCATTCGTATTTAATATATGAAATACAACAGAAGAAAAAAAAATAAATATAACAAAATTTAATATATATAAATAACTTTCAATCAAACTTCTATCGTAATATTAATATAACGTATCTTATACGTGATTCGATATAGAATAAAATCAATCGATTTGAACGATTTTATTATTATCTGATATCAATACACATTTGTGAATATACGATAATCTATGTAACTTGGATATATTAAACCATTTTAATGCTGATGCGTTCTTTCTGTTTTTCGTCAAAAGGTAGAACGCGACACCAGTATCGGTATACAGGGGCTTTCACCTACCACTTAAAATATTTTGTTCATTTCGTACGATAGAAAAAAATGTCAGAAAAAAAAAAATATTCCATTCGAAGGCGCCGATATGGTGAAAGAGCGCATTTTTTATCAAGGTCATTTTATTCGAGATATCAAAGTCATCGTATTATTTTTTAAATGGGACTTTTGCATATTTATGCAAATATTTATATTTATTTTTGCATATTTATTAATGCATATTTATACTAGAATATTCTTATAGCTTATAAAAAAACGAATAAAAAATATATATATAAGTAATTATCATACTTTCACCATTGGTATTGTATTTCAAGAATTAGGACAAATCGAAGATGGTCGTATTGAGAAATTTTAATTGTTTTTATTAAAAGCCTTAGAGTATAGAGGACTGTCAAACACGATTAGAATGTAAATAATACATATACAAATATACATATTATAATATATATATATATTATCTCAAAGATTACCTGTTACCGATTAAAATATTTTTGTTTTGTTCGCAGCAAACTGTCCTAGCGAGTATAAGAAAGGATGATCCTAGTTTCAACGCTGATGCATATACCAGTTTGGCGATTTTGTATGCTGTTTTCGCTATTTGCAACTGGTTAGCACCATCATACATATCATTGACGGGCCCTAGAGTCGCCATAGTAACCGGTTGTTGCTGTTACGTTCTCTTCATAGCGTCCTTTTTATGGCCACATCCGGCTTTTCTCTATACTGTATCAGCTATTCTCGGAGCTGGTGCAGCTTTTATATGGACAGGACATGGGCAATATCTTACGGAAAATAGCGACAATGAAACAATGTCAAGGAATGCCGGTTTGTTTTGGGCTATATTTCAATCATCTCTCTTTATCGGCAACCTTTTCGTTTATTTTATGTTTACAAACGAACATATAGAACAATCGGTACGACAAACCGTATTCATCGTACTGATTGGTTTAGCAGTTTTTGGTACGATAATTTTATCATTGTTAAGAAAAATTCCTCAGAGATTTGCTCTGGGAGAAGCCGAAGGAGTATCCAGCGCTGACAAAGAACTTCATATACCCGAGCCAGCGAAAGAGAAACCTCTTTTAGCAGCTTGGTGTGCTTTGAGAGACGCATTTTCTCTTTTCGTTACACCAAGGATGATTTTTCTATCCTTTACATTCGTTTATACGGGTCTACAGTTGACTTTCTTTTCCGGTGTATATGCTACTAGTATAGGTTTCACAAAAGCTATGGGTGAGTCACGTAAAAGATTGATCGGTTTATCGGGAATATTTGTAGGAATCGGCGAAGTTGTTGGAGGTACCTTGTTCGGTATTTTCGCATCTAAAGTATCAAATATTTGCAGTGGTTCACCCGTTGTTATCATTGGCTGCATTACTCATCTATTTGCTTTTATTAGTATATTTTTGAATTTACCTAATTCAGCATCCTTTATTGATACGGATGAGAAAGGTTTTATAGAACCCTCTCCTATTCTTGCTATGGCAGGAAGCCTTGCATTGGGTTTTGGCGATGCTTGCTTCAACACTCAGGTTTATTCCTTACTCGGTGTTTTGTTCGCAATAGAGAGTGCATCTGCATTTGCTCTATTTAAATTTTGTCAATCGGTAGCCGCAGCAGTCAGCTTTGCTTACAGTAGCAAAATTGGTTTACATCTTCAATTATTTATATTGCTCGTTTCTATTATTATCGGAACAACTACGTTCGTTATAGTCGAACGAAAAGCGCGAAATTGTTTAAACGAGAATCAACCTGACATCGATCCAGCGATTGTCGAAGGACAAAGTATAGATGATTGAAGAAATTATTTTTATAGAAAATATTCGATCAATCGGTGCAATTTTAAATGATCGTTTTACCACGATCGAATTATTTTATGCGATATCCTTATGATCACTTTTTTTAATCAGAAAAGAAAAAATATCGAAATTAATACAAATTTTGACAATAATCGTTTTATTATAGTTATGAATCAACAATGGCTGTGTCGATGAAGACGTTACATTTGTAAATACGTGAGTTTTTCTTATCATTCTCTTTTATTTTGTCAGTTGATTCTTGTACTATAAATAAAAAAATGTAATAGAAAATATTTGAAAAGTAACGTACACACACAAATGTATATGTATGCATTATAACATACACGTTAGGTATAATTAATGATTCGAAAAATTGGATTTTTTTTAAAATCATAATTTATAAATTTTTACATAAATTAGAAATAAGTTTGAATGTTATTAAAGTAATAATATCAATTGTTACTAATAGAAAATGGTAAATGTTCCATATATGTAAATTTTTAATCCGATTAAGTTAATATAATTTTTTTTCTACAAATATATAAAAAGACTGCAACAGAGGGATCGTAATTTATATATATATTTATGTATGATGAACTTTCAAGAAATATATAATATATTCCGATTATATTTTTTATCAGGAGAAGTCGAAGGAAGTTATTTAAATTTAATTTTCTTTGTAGAAAATATTTGTACGTTCGGTTATGAATCTGATGTAGAAAAACTTTTCCAATATTTTTGTTGAACATTCATAGGATTTTTACAGGATAATAATCAAACTATGATTCGTCTAAAGTGTTGAATCAATAATGGTAAAAATACACACACACACACACACATACACAAATGCACGTTTATTCTTCTCCGGGCAGAAAATGGAAGCAAATTCCAACAATGATTTAAATATGTAAATTAGCTCTTTAATTTAACAATTGATTACCATTTGCCGACCAATAGCTGCAATCTATTACGTGCTTTGTTTTATCTGTGTTGTGCGTATGTCTTCCTCTACTGATTCAATTTGTTAGATGGATTATAGATCTAAGGTACTGTATTGTACATAATCAAAGAAACAATTTTAACTTCATTGTTGTTATACTTGATTTATCGAAGAATGAATACATAGTTATGTTTAAATTGTTTCATTCTATATATTCCATATTTTATATATACATATATTGTATTGTATGAAAGCATAAATTTGAAATAAGATGAAATATGTCAAGTTGTTGTAGATAAATATATGTATTTATAATTAAATCGTGTTATGAAAGTACACGAAAATTACACATTTGGTTGAAATTATTTTCCAAGGAATACAATATTTATATTGATTCATATTGTGTTCCTTATATATTTTATATACCCAGTACTAAAATACTTTGACCATATTTAGGATAAAACTAGTTATTTTCAGGCTAAATATATTTTAATCATCCAGCTGGCAAAGACTGGCAACACCTCTATTTATCCAATGCGATTCATCGATTAATGTCAGAAGAAAAATATACATGACAAAGTTTGAAGAATGTCCTGTTGTTGCTAAGACACCACGTCGCGCGCTCGTTTTATAAATGGGACAATGATAAACCGGTGGAAATGAAAGTTCGGATTTTAGAGTTGGTTTCAACCAAATTATAGGCAAAGAATCAAACATAACTTTAGGTCTTGATTCATCTAACGAACCCGTCTCTCTGTTCCACCTTGCACCTTCTAGAAAAAGACCCTAAAAATAAGATCAAAATTGAATGACAATGATAAAGGGAAGAGAAATTCCCTGATAAGACGACATATGTAAACGTACTCTTATATAAACACCACTAGACGGTGAATTATCAACCGTTGTTTCAAATTTCGTAACGTCAAAATCAAACTCTATCAGATCGATAGGTATCTTATGTTTGCGAGCATAATTTTGTAAAACCCCGGTAAGGAATGACTGAGTAAAGAAAAAACCGGAGATCCAAAATATAACTGGTGCGTCATTATCAATCCAATCTTGTAAAAATTGTATTCTTGCTAATAGATCGTTAACATAACTTCCTAATGGTTTCAACGAAGGGTACGATTTTCTATCCCACGCAGAAGGTACTTTACCGATATTCATACAAGTAAATACCTCTTCCAATTCCGGTGACATCAATACTTGACCTTTTATGGCTTTCTGTACATTTGTCAACGTACTCTTTATAACACTTGTTAACTGATTAAATTTAATTAGTTCCTGTCGTAAAACGGTATTCATACTGTTCATATACAACACGGGATATTTTTCCGCAACTTCTACCATATCAAATTGTGCTGGCATTTTCGATAATATATCAGCAGCGAGATTATACACCATTTCATCAACATCTCGTTCAGCAGTTACTCCACTTATTTGTGGTTGCGTCAAGAGAGCATCCGCAAGTAATTGCATGGATTCTTGATTATCTTTTGTAATATCTGCATTATCGTGCAGACCATATACCTCAGGTGCCTGATTAATAGGTAAATTTCTTATGTAATCGATACATCCTTCGTAATCGGTGTTTTTAGGTAAGTGGTAAATTCCACTCGGAGAGAAGGAATATCTACAATAAAATAAGTTAGTAAAAGGTTAACGATTTTAATAAATAAATTGTTAAAAAAAAGAAAAAATAATATTCGACGCATAGAGACGTATTTACTGTCTATTTGTAACGACTTCTGGATTATAGAAATTTTTTAATAATGAATTAAGTAAACGTCTATCTTTATCGTCCGTTACTCGTCCTCCGTAATTGCATTCTCCTGTTAAATACAGAAGCGCATCGAATGGTATATCTTCGTAATCATTTAAAAACAGCTAAAAAAGATCTAAGTAGGTTAAAATTTAAAAAGTTTACATAATAAGATTAAAAAAATATAATATGTTTTTACCTGCAATTGTAAAATGCTAATGCGTAAATCGGATTCATTAAATTCGTAAGGAATATTCCATCCTAATGGTCCAAAGTTTCGTCTTTCTTGAACTACGGCATGAAAGAAACACAAGGAAAACAAAAGGCTTCTCCATTCCAATATTTTAGAACAGCTATGAAAAAATTCCATGTCAGAAATAGGATCATTCAAATAACTACGCAATAAGTTATTCTTCAAGCCCTTGGGTGGTTCGTTTGTTATTTTAACGCCATTCTGTAAGATGGAAACAGGAAATCCTTCGGATGGATAACTCGTAAGCCACAATCGAAATTTGGGGTGCGTATTTTCTGGTGTAATGATTTCGTCACAAATTCTATCCAATTCCTTCATCCAGGAGACAGCGAGATGGCAATTCTGTAAAATGACCCATTCACCGGTTTGGATGCTCTGTTGAATCATATTGGTTGCTATCGGACCTTGGCCTTGACCTAATGATATGGTCATTAGATCTTTTTTGGACAAACCATTATCCTCGGCGAATTTAATTAAACCTGCCATCGGATCAGAACCCGGAGAAAGTATAAAAATCAAAGGTGTGATATTACTAGAATCGTTGTATGATCCTTGAAGATCGAATGGTGGGGGCTCAACGAAAGATTGATCCATATTTTCTATTATAAATTTTTGAATAGATGTTACAATTTTGTCAGGCCTGATACATCGAATAATAATAAGTTTTTCAAGATTTCGAGCATCTAGGTGTTCGAATGGTGTCGGTAATTTTTCTTTTTCTGGATTTGATAAGTCGTAGCAATCTTTCCACATTGAAGTATATTGTTCTAAAGACATTTTAAATCTTTCCATACCAGGTAAAGCGGTTGCTTGTACCACTTCTGACCAGGATTTATCAGAAAGCCAGGATGGTGCTGGATTTGGATAAGGATTGTCCAATGCAATTCCTCCTGTTAATAAAAACGTCCATAAATCTTCGTTTAATTTTCCTTCGGCACGCATGAGACCAACGCACAGTATCAACGAGAACATCAATTTATGTTTCTCAAAGAGGGAACGACATACGTTTCTGTAGATATTCGCTGTAAAGTGAGAATTGAGATTTTTCATTCGTACATTTAAATTAATCGATTTTTCGCTGTTGGTTATCGACATGATATAAAGATGAATAAACCATGACAATGAATATTGATACATAGGATCGACATTGCCTAATTCGGAAATACAAAAGAAAAGTACTGAGCCATGCTTTGAAACTGGTTTGTAACCATTACGAGCCTGATCGATTTCAACTGCCGTTTTAGCAGCTGCATGTTGTTTTGCTTCGATATCTTCCGACAACACTTTCGAAGTGGAAAGTATTTTTATAGCTGTTTCATCTTCCAATATATTTCCTTTCGAAGTTGATAGGACTTCCAATATTTTGTCTTCTATTTCCTTTAATATACGTCGATTGTTTGCACCTTCGACAATCAATTGATTCTTTTTTTCCTCGAGAATCGGTAATTCCTGTGCGACGACTATTCCTAAAAGTTGATCCTCTAAACCTTGAGGCGTAATCATAAAATTTAATAATGTTACTTTTACTACTATTTCTGGTAGATAATGGGGATTTCGTAAACGAGTTGTGATGTAGAAACGAAAATTCGAGTTATATTCAAGAACATTTTCTCCAAATTTAATGTACGATATGCCTCTTTGTTTATAAACATTTTTCATTAACACTGGCTCTAATATCGCATCTATGTCTTCAAGAATATTTTCCAACAAAACTGGCGTACCGAATTGCAACGCCGTTTCTACGACACTGACGTAATTAGGATCGGTTAGTTTTATAATAGATAATTTGTTTTGTTTTTCCATATTTTTAACCCATTTATTAGCTTGATTTTGTGGATCTATCATGAGAGGCCATCGATCAGCATTCATTACGATTATGCCATTTTCTATAGAAAAATTATCCGCAGGTAATCCATAAATCGTCCATGCTCTGATTTTCACTGGTTCACCAAGGATATCTATCAAATTGAAATGCTTTCCACATGGAATATTTGCTCTTGTGCATGATGCGTGCCATTGACTTATAAGATCATTTCTATAATCTATGGTAAAGGCACCCAAGTAAGCGACAACACCGGAAGACAACAATACATCTCCGATAACGCTTTGGAGACTGGCACCAAGTGCCATCGCTGTTTCGTTCCATCGAGTTTTTTCTCCACTTAAACCACCCAATAATTTTTCAGCTCTATCCAATTTTTGAGTACAATGATCGATCTGATCTTCAAGTTTCTTTTTCTCTCTCATACATTCCGCAAATTCATCGTTAAGGGATTGCAATTTTTGCGTAACTTCTTGCAAAAGTGCTCTCTTAGCATTTAACATTTCCATTTGTGTTGCTAATTCAGCCTCGGCCTCGGCTAACATTGCTCTTTTCGGTGCTACAACTTTGATAACGCGATCATAAACTTCCATAGCACGTACCCATTTGCAAAGACCTTCGCAAGCAGTAGATACTTTTTTAATAACTTCAGGCTGAAAACTTCTGTCGTTTATAAATTTATCACGAATTATTTTCATGTACGCGGGTGGTATATTATCCTTGTCGAAATTTTTCAAACTATCAAGAAATTTCATATCACCGAGCATTCTAATGGAAGCTAGCCAATAATCTTCAACAGTTTTACCGGTTTTGGGATCTTGTATCTTTTCAGGTTTAACACCTTTCAATACACAAACAGCCTCCATAACTAATCTGACACCGGCTGGTGGACTCTTCATGGATTTGACGATAGTAATGTCTGCTGGTTTCAATGTATTTAATGCTGCCAGAGCCGCTTCTAATGCAGGCGTAGCTTCAGCTAGATCACTCTCACAATCATCTTTAATAGCTTGAGCGGCAGCAGCAGCTTCGTTAGCCAATGCTTCATCTGCAGCTACTATTTCTTTTCTAGCTTCTACGTTGATGGTATCCTGTTCGATTCTTATCATAAGTTTATCGCTCAACTGTGATTGCGCCACTAATTTTGGTTGCAACATTTTTAATTCCTCTTGCATCACAGCCACTTGTCCTGCCGCGAAATCCAACTTTTCTAATCCAGTAACGTATCGACTTTCTTGGTTTGTAATTTGATTGACTTTTTCTCCGTAAAGTCTATAAAGAGACGATATTAGTTGTAGAAAACTCGTAGGAGTTACGTAATATCTTCTATGATGATTCTTGTAATAATCCTCGCTTGCGACGGAAACACTCATGTGAAATTCTTTACAAATGTGAACACACTTCTCTCGTAATTCAGAACCAATGTTCAAATTTTGTAATGACGTTCTGGCTACCTTTTCAAGAGCATCCTCTAGCCACAAAGTGTACCAATCTATGGTACAACAATTGATTAGAGAAGGAAACATCCTAGTTCGAATTCTAAATGAATCACCGATCGGTGACATGGTGAGTACTATGTGAAGGTTTTTCTTTATTCTTTCGATGAAAAGATTGTAAAGCGTCAACGGCGTAGTCTCTACTTTCTTACCACCCGTTTCTCGTGCTACGTTCATCATCTTTTCCAAAATCACAGCCATCTCTTCGGTACCATATAAATTCGGTACATCGCCGGTATTAAGAAGTATATTTATATCTTCAACGAAGGATTCATCTGTTATTTGATTATCTGCAAATAGAAATACCGTAGGTTTTCCATCACATCCAATGTGTAACAAAAGTTGTCTTAAGTCATCTTGCCATTCGGTATATCCGTAAGTTCTAGACATTTCAACTTGATACAACATATACTCGGACATACTAGTCGCTAATTTCGTACAAGAATTTCTACCTGAGCCACCAATTCCAACGAGCATAGCATGGCCGTTGTCTTGTAATAGTACTCGAGAAATACGAGAAATATGTTCTATAGCAAATCTAAAAAGAACTAAAGACATCGGTGATCTCGATATCATATTGTATTCGTTCAAATAATAATCCATTTTCTTTTGCAAATCTTCCAAATTCGTTACTTCGTCGTAAATCTTGGGATCGGCATCAGGTTCCATGTAATTGCCGAAGAATAAATCACGAATATGAGTACTCTTTATGATTTTTTCGTCCTCTTTTAAAAAATTGGCAAGAACTTTTTCTAATGGTTGACGCAAGTGTTCATAGCATGTATGCTTTACCATAGTGAAAAGCATGTCACGATCATCGTCATCGACAAGCCTGTCATGAAAAACTCTATATACCTCGTGTATCCATAATCTAATGAGTTTATCGGGATCTTTCATTCTAACTGCTGGTACCAATAATATACCTCCGATCACGCGACTGAAATCTCGCAAATTAAAGGTGTAATGACTTTTAGCCGGTGTAGGTAAAAATCTTTCGATAGCAGTTAGAAATATATCCATAGTAGCGTTAACAATCATTTTTCCTAATCGAGAAACTTCCGATACGAAACCTTTAGCGAAATGCCATTCGAGAATTGAGGTGAAAATTTTACTCAATGTAGCCTCTTCGAAAAATTCTATACCAATTATATGCATGTGACGAGTAAGTCGATGGGTAACAACGTTAGAACCACCTCCCGGTGGTAACATAGCTGCGATTAATAAAATATCTACTAAATATAATATACTCGTTTCCTTTGGATCGAACCAATAACCATGATCTATGAACTGACGTAATAATTCAATAGGTGGTTGTGCTCCGTATGTCTCTTTCTGTGGCATACTCAAGTCATCTACAAAGAGTACACACTTTTTACCCATCGCTGGCCCATAAACTCCTTTTCTTCTTCGATCTAATTTAGACATCACAATTTCCTGAGTTTGTGAAGCGCTCGTACGAGCGCTAAAGTTTATAACATTTTCGATGTGTTGTTCTCGTGGTAATTCTTCTAAATAATTAAGAATTATCGCTGATTTGCCAGTACCAGTTGGTCCTACAAACAATATTGGTACATTCTTGTGTAAAAAATTTTTTATAAAGAATCGTTGCATAGAAACTTGAGTAGTTTGTATAATGAGCTCGCTTGCTTTAGCATGTGCTGGTAAAGGTACCTGCAAATAAGTAAATATTTTTTATATTTTTTTTTTCTTTTGAAAACACAAGAGGAAAAGTAGAGGAAAGTAGAGGAAAGTATTTTCATACTTGTGCCATAGTATCCATCCATGATATCCAACATCCATTATTTTTTTTATCATACACCCAATCGTAAATAGTATCTCTGTCGGGAAATAATTGTTGTTTCGTCAACTTAAATGCCTTAGGCCTTGGATATTTATCTATATTACCGAGTAATAGTTTCCGAAAATAGGAATCGAATATTTTCCTGCTATTGCCAATTAATGTTGGACAAATACCCCAAATAATACAGAATAATAGCACACATTGCAGCCACACCGTACTAACTTGAGTCTCTTCTTCTAGCATTATAGTCAAGAGCCTTGTTAGCGACTATAATAACCATAATGTTGTAATAATATATATTTAACTTTACACTTTTACCATCAATTATGTAACTGTATATTATAATTACCAAAAACATATGAAGCTCTGACGTATCGATGAATGTCGTGCAGTTATATTTAATGAACATTAAGACCGGTTCGATCAACCATTCGATTATTTCTACGATAAGCTCGAATTGCTCTAAGAGTAATTTTTCTTTGAGATATTTTTTGTAAGATTCAAAAAATGGCATCCAACCAAGCTGAGAAGGTTCCATGTAGATCATTCCGCACCTGCTAACGGTGGCTGGCGATGCATGTTCTAGATCAGCTGGCTCGAATATCATGTTCATTTTGTTGGACATTTGAATAATTTCACCGGACATTAAACAAAGCTTTTTATTATCGTCCAATACTGTGTTCATACTTTCGATCCATATCGCATCCACTGGACCATCGAAGACAATCCATTTTCGTTCCAGGGACAAGGATTGTGCAAACTCACGAAAAGTATTAGCTAGTACACCATCATTCCATTCATGAGACACCGGATCGAAGCTACCATACAATTGATCAATTGTAATAGCTTTTGGATTAATTATCCTATAAATTGTTTTAAATTCTCTCATAGTGGCTCTTCTTATTCCAGCAAGATCACCCAATGATTCTGCTAATGTCTGATATGCTTGAGTTTTACCTCCTAATGCATTACCAACGATCATTAATCCATGACGTACTAATATCATTTCGTAAATCTGTATGATTTTCTCTATGTACCAAGAAGTAGCTTGAAGATTTTTTTTCTCTAAACTAATTTTGAGACGATCTATAAGTTCTCCACGATCAGGTTGAGGCAAGGTAATACCTGGAAATAGATCGGTATATATTCCATTGAATAAAGGTACATCTTGAGCTAAAAATTTTGGAAGATTAACGTCTACGATCGCTCGCAGAACTATGACGGACTCGTCCCGTGTTGGATGTTTCAATTTCAGATTGCCAGCAGCAATTAGAACAGTTTTTACTGCTCGCATACCGTAATCGTAATGATTTTGTGAACTCAATTGTTCCGAACACAACTTATATGTATGAACTATTTTCTCAGCAAGATTCTTAGCATCGGTGAAACCATAAGAATAAAGAGTAATTTCTCCAATCATAGCGTAATCTGGTACCATCATGGCAACGGTTCGAAATAGTACCTTCAAGTTGTCCGGAAGTTCTTGACGTCCAGCATAACCAGGATTCATCGTAATGATAACGTAACAAGTAGGATTTAATTTAATTTCGGTACCCTCGCATATGAACTTTTCTAATTTCATACTTATCGCCATCTGTATGGACAAGATCTGTTGAGCAATAACGGAAAGAACCTCGAGTTCTATACGATTAAATTCATCGAAGCATGCCCAAGCACCAGACTGTGCTATGCCCTTAAAAAATTTCCCCATTGCTTTGTAATCAAGACCTTCGGAACAATTGAAGACTACGCATTGCTTGGCCACTGCTTTAGCCAAATCTTTTGCAGTTTCGGTTTTTCCTGTTCCAGCTGGACCTTCCGGTGATCCACCTAAGTTTAATTTCAATGCACCCATAAGCGTTCTATAGCAACGATCCGTCAAAGGTGTAATTACTAAACGCGATGTATTTCCAAGATACTCGAAGGCATATTGAACTTCAGTCGTAACCATCGCAACTGTGATGCTGTTGTTGATCCAATAATAACGCAGTTGTGATATCCAGTTAAAATCCATTACGTTTTTAACATTTTCTTGAACGAGCAAACTGACTATGTCTCTCGCATGTACATCGATCACGATCAAAACATTTAAAGTTATCCTAGCACTTGGGTCCAATTTGCCTCGAACAAGAGCTACGGTATTTTCTATTTGATAGCCGCATTTCTTCAAATAATCCGACGTTGATTTGTCTTCGAATGAATCACATACTTCGTTGGTCCAATGAATCTGACTGCAGCAAATAATTATTTGACCTGGCCAAGAAAGTATCCATTCTTCGCGTACACTTTCAAAATATGAAATTATACTCTCCTCTGCTATATCACGAAGAGAAGCGATCATGAGTTCCTCTACTTGGCACAACCATCTTTCAACCATGCCTTTTGCATCGGCAGGATAAATCTTTCCACTCAATGGTATATATTCTTCCTCGCGCGATAACATTCCAATTATTTCTTCATCTTTAGTGAAACGTAACTTGCTTATACCTTCGAAACATTTTTTCAAATGTGGCTGTACTCTTTGCGGATCCTTCGTCTCTGAAAGTATTTCCAATAACTCGTCATTGGATAAGAAGAAAAATCTTGGAAAGAACAAACGTTTCTTTTCCAGATACTCGTTTAAACCTTTTTGTATTTCTTCCAATAAAGTATTGCAAAGCTTAAATTCTTGCAACATATTCGGCATAGCAGTAGCATCGATAACCCTTTTATTGTTTGTCACATATATCATAATGTTACGCCAAATTTTGTCAATTCGTCGAAAATTTTTGGCCTCTGTAGGCATTTGACGCATGATATCTTCGCTACTGAATATCGGTTCGAGATACATCCAAGTAGCTTGACACATCAACCATTGATCGATAATGTCCTGCATCATGATTAATTTGTCCTCCCAAGCTTGCATATCTTCTTCGAAAGCTTTCACAAAAGCTGAACCTCTCATTGTCTGAACTTTTAATATATGATCATCTAACAACACTTGTATATCGTCTACCGCCGTCAATATATTTACACCAGTATCCCGATACAATGTTAATTCAAAGTAAATCTCAGCCCATTCGCTTTTCATCTTTTGCAGGTTTCTCAACAATGCGTGTTCTTTAATAGCAGCCGACGAAATTTCTTCAAGTTTCTCAATGTGAACAGATAAACCGTGTTCAATCATATCGGAAAGGCAACTGGTATCCGTGGGTTCTATAGACAATTTAACAATTTGACTGATTTGTTCCCAATGTCGAGCTTCTAAGCCAGGAGTACAAATTGTTTGAAGAACTGGAATAAATTGTTTAAATTTTTCTACTTTGGCACGTACCATTTCAGCGACTCGTCTCGCACCGGGAATATCACTGAGCACCCGTGATAATTTGTAAAGTGTTCTCCAAATCTCGTCGACTTCGTCGCGAATCTCATCGGCGTCAAGTCCAACGAACGGCCCGTAAAACCATTTTTCGTAATTCTTGTGAAAGCTCAACGCTATGTGCCATAATTTATCAAAGACATCTACAATGGATGACATAGCAGGTATCATCATGTACGGACTTAATTCCATATCGAGGAGTGTTTCTTCTTCATTGATCTCTTCCGCTTCTTTTCTTATATCCGCCATATCCTTTGACAATTGCTCTACCTCTTCGGTTGCTTGTTCCATTTCTTCAATAGTTAATACAGGCGGATCCTTTCTTTTGAATTGTTCGATTGCTTTTTGCATAGCATTTATCTTTTTCTCAAAATTATCTCGTCTAGTTCGTAATACACCCTCAAGAAATTCTTTCCTCATGTTCAATCTGGTTGTCGCTAAATCCATTACAGTTTCCATTTCTTTCGGCCACGTTATAGTACGTGAATTCAATTGAATATCTTCATCGGTCAATGGTTGATGATTAAAGAGAAATAATGTCAAATCCGCGGAACGTGCCAATCGACTCCTCAAATTGAACATCGTCGAATCTCGACTTTCGCAAAGATAATTATAAAGCTCGACAACTTCCTGCGTAGTTTCTGGCATCTTTGAAATATTTTCTGCTATTTCATCAAAGATAGAACACAGTTCACGATTGTTCGATCTTAATTCGTTCGCAAAAAAATCACAAATTTGTGAACGTAATTCATGAAGTATTTGTCGCATGGTATCGTTTACAATGGTACAATCAATTTCAATCATATTCAGTGGTATCTAAATGGAAAAAAATAATTATTTAAATAATACCATTATATAAAATTCTATTTTATTGTTAATATACCTTGCATTGAAATATAGATATTTCTTTGCTTAAATTGTCGTAAAAGTCAATCTTTTGCTCGAACTCTCTCAAAAATGGAAATGGTTCAATATTAAAGAAATCATTTAAATTCTTCTGTGCTGTTCCATCTATTATGTATAATAATTCTTCATAACGTTTAAGATATTCTTGCGGGCCAGCGATGTGTACACCAACCGTATCTAATGTATCGGTAATTAACAACAATACCTGCATACATGAATGTAAATATATATATATTGCACTTACATGAATATTCTATTAATTTTTTTCATGTAATTAATATCACCTCGTCTTCATATCGTGATATTGAGAACAGAAAACCTTTTTGATCCAATTCAGGAAATAAAATCACTTCGATTTTGGGTAAAATCATAGCAACCTTGAGAATTTTATCGAAACATCTCGAAACGATGGTATGTATATCTAAAATACTTGGTTTACAATACAAACTCGTTGTTCCAATTTCCACTTCTACATTTACTGTTATTAAAGGAGGTCTAAAATGTAAATTATATTGCATTACGTATTAATTAAACTATAGGTTGACGAACGAGATTGTGCTTACTTAATAAACATCAAATCTTTATAATCCCCTTCGAAATAATTTCCTGTTCTATATTGCATAAGAAAATTTCTAAAATGTTCTATAGTTTTCATTATCATAATTCTTAATTGTCTTGACAATAAAGAATTAACGGCTCGAAAATATTTTTCAATTAAACTCGTTGATGCGTGTTGCCCTTTTTCAAAAAGTCCCGACCACGCATACTTTTTCTCGAGAAAAATATCGGCTACATCGGCCAACCATTTATTTGTTAGCACATAAACAGCATTTTCGCACAATTCATTTACTTTTGGTTCAATTTCCGTGGCTGCCACTGGAAACGTTCCTAAGTCTTGAATTTTAAAAATCGTTGTGTTATGGTATCTGAGAAAAATGATGATACCCTTGCAATAATAAAATTAATGAATATTTAATAATATTTATATATACTTAAAAAACTAACTTAGAAAACCATAAATCCCGAATATCTCTCAATATCTCGTTTGTTATGAAAAGATTATATTCCATAAAATGATCAGATAAAATTTTATATTGATGCCACGGTACTGGAGCATGAATAATTAAAACAGGATACTCCATGGGCATTGTTTCTATAAGCAAACGTTTTCTTTCTTCCGCATCCAAAAGAATATAATCAACTATGGAGTAACGAAGACTCTTCTTATAATCATCGATTATTTCCCCTTCTAATTTTTGAATGATTCCGTCAAAACTGAAAGAAAATTTGTTAAAATAAGACGGAAAACGAGCCACACCCATTGTTAATTATAAAAGTAATTAACAATGAAAAACAATTGTAATAAACAATAATTTACTCTTTGCGTTTTCGTAATCTACCAACGAGTAATTTTTTGGCATTTTCGATATTACTATAATCATATGGTTCTAAATGATAATCGGCAATGCACTCGTTTCTTAAGTAAAAAAGTCTTTGAATATCTTCGTCTCGTATTTTTTGATTTTGCTCTCTTTCAACCTGAATCATCAATTCTTCTAATTGATCTTCGATTGATCTTGGCATCTCTGCTTCCTTACTTCGTACAATCTGTAATGTCCGTTGTTACTTCAATTGTAAATATTAATTATTATTATAGATTTAGTAGTAAATAGCGTAACGAAACAATTATTTATTGTTAGTAATATATGAAATATGCATACTTCTTCCTCAAGAATGATTTTCTTCAATTTATCTTTTCTTTGTTTCATTAATAATTCTCCATTCTGAATATTTTGATAAGCCTCTTTCTCAGCTTTTCTATGTAACCATGTACCATCTATCAAATCTTTCAAATTAATAATATTATCTAAAAGAAAATTTCGTTCTTCTTCATCCTTTTCTGCTCTTTTTCGTCGTCTCTCTTCTTTGTAGAATTCAACGTATTCGCGTGGTGGCATTCTTAACTTATTTTCAACTCCAAATGGTAAACATTTTGATGGCTTTTCTTTCTTTGTTAAAGTATTAACACGATACTGTGCTGAAGTAGGAGTATATATACTTCCTATTCCTTCACTTGGTTTTGTATAGGAAAACCAATATTTGTACGGTACTGCTTTCGTCCATGATTGATCTTCTAATAGTTTTGGATATTTAGCATATTCTAGTGCATTAGTTACTTCTGTTGTCGAGTTTACACAATCTTCCACTACTGGCATCCATGGTATATTTGGAAGTATGTTACAAACAAATCTTTTATCCGTCATTTTTTATCTATTCATTATAAAAAAGTAACTTAATGTTAACTTTACATTCGGACGCTAGCTAAGACAAATTTTTCATAAAAAGTAAGATACGGTTTTATAAAACAATTATACAAATTTGTGTTAATAAACAATTTAATGTTTGATTCAAATTTATAATTATGATACCTCACAATGTTATAATCTGTGAACTTCGGAATAATCGAACACTCGTGTTTACGATGTAACCATAGTGACAATATTGTAGTATAAGTAAATGAAGAAGTATATTTATTTGTAGTAATAGGAAAAATTAAGTTGTTTTTTTTTCCAAGAATATATATTATTATACATATATAATATTATTATATATGAATTATAAAATAAATATATTACGTATTTGTTTACAATAAAATATATTACATTTAGTTTCAATAATACTTTATATTACAATTTTTGTTCTTATCTTATCTTATTCAAAAATTAAATATTCGTATACGATCAAAACATATACAAATATTATTACTTAAAACTAATATAAATATCTGTAATATTTTTAAAAATATAGTCATGATTTCATTATTTGGTACGTAATAAAAATAATACTCCATGGTATCTAGTCTTTTTCATTTGATAAAGTAGAATCTTTTGTTTCATCTGTGACATAACTCCTGGAATATCTCAAATGAGTTCGTCTATAAATTTTACCTAGCGTAAAAATATTATGTTTGCAATTAATAAATTTGTGTAAATATTCTTTTTTTTATTATATATTATTTACCTGCATTAGTAATCTTAGCAAAAAGAAATTGTTTATCTCGTGCATGTAACATGAGCATATCTTGTAAAATGATCAACATTTCCTTATTTGCTTGTGCTTTAGCTCTAAGCCAGTAGACTCCAACACTGTAATATAAAAGAAATCATCTAAGAAATAATTTACAAAAGTAAATTTATAAATAAAATAATTATACCTCATTGCAATTAATATTGCTGCTCCAATTGAGGGTCTTGAAAGTTCACTTATCAGTACCCAAAAACCACTATCTCTTTTTAGTTCAAGAACACCATCAACTACATACTCCCAAGTATAATTGTGTCCTTTAAAAGGCCCACATTCATAAGTTCGTACATTTGTGATAATATATCCTATCATAATTAATATACTAATTATACCAATGAATGAAAGTGCTAAAAAGAGAGTATGGGTTTGTGCTGCTCTCCAAGGTCTTGAAGGTGGCTCACAATAATTTAATAAGCTATGCTTTTTTGCATAGAATGTTAATATCATTTTTATAATGATTATCAAAGACAACAATGGGCTAAAATAGCAACCTAGCCAGAAAAGCATTTGATTATAAATAAGATTTAATGTACTATGGGCAATATCAAATTTTGTTCTTCCAACTCCTTTCCAAACTGTTACATATATAACAGAGCGCACTGTTTCAATCATATATAAAATAAAAATTGAGATAATAAAATCTATAAATATAAGTCGATATATTTCTTTTCCCAATTCTGTTTGCCAACATCCATCTGTGCTATGTATTAGCCAAAAAGCAAGAAGGGTGCTGATTATCACTGCAGCTAATGCATGAATTCTAATCACAGTTACATACACTTCAACGCGTTTACTGTTATATCTTTCCACTTTTGCCTGGAACAAAAAACAATATTATTTAACTTTCTCTACTTATAATTAATTTTTTAAAATTATTAAATTAATATTGCTAAAAGTATAATTCTATACTCACTAAGAAAGAGATAATTATTGAGAATATATTCATAATAATTGTAATAACCACAGGTACAATCATTACTGATGCATTTGATTTATCCATTTCATGTTTAGTTAATAATACCCATAGTACTGCACTAGTTCCACATATCATACAAAAAGTTATTATAGAAATAATTATACGTACAAATATAACATACAATTTCATAAAACGATTTTGTTGTGAATGCTTTTTTGTTTCAGCTAAAAGTTCTTTTAACTCTCTACAAATAGATGTAGATTGTAAATTTGCTGCTTTTGTAGAGGATATAGCAAAATCCCATCCACAAAATACTTTGTTACAATATAAATACTGTACTTTCTCACGAATTTCAATATAGCGTTTCCTATAAGATAATACTACCCTGTAACAAATAATGTAATTATATAAAAAAAAATAAATTAAATAGACAAAATATTGTATGTATGTATAAAAACTGATATTCACAATCGCCATAAGAAATAATACTTACTTAACAGAAAGTATAATAAACGTACATATATAAGCACAAAGTAATGTAATAAAATAAGCAGAAGGAATACTGTATGTACTGGTAAATATTTTTTCTACTGTATAATTACTATAAAATCCATAGTACATTATTGTATTTTCGAAAAATCCCTGTAATATATACAAATAATATTTTGATTATTAATAATGAGAAACTACTTTTTTTTTATTAATTAATAATAGATCAATAATCTTACACTGCCTGTTACAAAATCCAAAGCATTAAAAGATGAAGGTAAATATACTTGATCCAAAGATTGTGGAAGAACAATAAACATAATGCTATAAATATAAGAAACTTATATACAATTTAAAAAAAAATATAACTATTAAATGAACAAAATATAAATATATATGAAAAATACCTCATGAGAGCAAACATAATATTTAAAAGAATTAGCCATCTTAAAAACTTGAAATAAACAGCTACTCCGCTTCCAAACTGACCTTCTATTGATTTTATTGTATGGTACCAAAGTTCCATAGTCTGCCCAATATCTTGAATTATCATATGCACCTATATATATATATATATATATATATAAATTTATAAAAACAATTTGTTTTACAATTAAGAAATAAACTTCTCAATGCATGCCTATCTAAGTAATTATTATATAATAGTGTAAAACCTTTCGAAAAGCAAAACTGATTTTATATTTGAGCCTTTTCCAATAACCAATAGATATCTTCTTTGATCTCTGTTGCACTGTTGTGTGTAATTTAGACTTTACTAATCTTCTTATAGTTAAACACTGCGGCATAGATTTTAAAATATCCATTCTAAGTTGTTCGGCAGTCAAATCATCTTGCATGAGTCGATTGCTGCATTGCAAACGAGTTGCAATAGTTTCCGCATGGTCCTGAAATGATATTTGTGTGTTTCTTCTTATATGACAAGTTGCATATGGAATTACAGAATCCAAATCCGTCAGGATGTCATTTTCATTAGGAAGTGCTATAATCATATAATTATTTTAATTAGAATGATACAGTTCTCTCGTACGGTTTGTTCTAGTTTATTGTTATTATATATATTTCTTTACATGACAATCCTGATGATCTTTGTTGCACACTATCCTGTTCATCATTCTCCTGTTCATCTAAACAGGCGTCTAACTCCATAATACTCATCATTAGAATATCATCATTATTTACATTTGAATCTATACTGTTTAATTCATGTGCTAAAACAATTAGGCATATTTTTTAATTAATTAAAGTTATTGATAATTTTCAGGAAATGTATTTTTTATTTGTGAAAACTTACATTCTGCCATTTTAATAATAAATTTGTCTAACAAGTCTTCTTTAAAGATATTGATATTGGTTATGGTCTTAAGATAAGTGTCAGATAAGAGCTTTATCCATTGTGATACATACGCGGAATGAATCATTTCAGGGGCGAATAATGATATTTTATACGCAATCAAAGTTTAACCTTTAGTAATATTTTTAGTTTTCACGTCGTATCTATATATTATACATTTTTTAATTGTAGACCTCCCATATGTTAATTTTATTTTACTTATTAGGGTTATTTTTATATTTTTACCTATATATTGTCCAAAAATAAGTTTCTTTCTTTAAAATATAGATTTTCGAAAATAATACATTTTTTTATTAACAAACATTTCATATCTTTTTGTTTAATCATAAATTTCTAACGTCAAAATTATTTTATTTTATATGTAACTATCAAATTAAATTTCGATAACTCGTTTGATACTTATTATTGATTAAATTTTTGCGTATTATACATAACATTATAATATATACTATTGTAATTTTCATTTTTTTTTTTCACAAAATACAGCTTTCGTCTACAAAAAAATATTATTTTTTTCCAAATATATATATATAATTACTACATATTTTCTTGATAAAATTAATGAGTTAACTTTTTTTAATGTATCAGAAATATTATTTTGAGATTAATTTATCTAAATTTTTTGTATCAAACGCACTTTCAGAAAAGGATTGATTAGAACATGTAGAAATGAAAAATATTTAATTAATTACATTTTTACTTCAGCAAATGTTATTTTTATAGGACATCAGAAAAAATAACAACAAATAATAAACTTTAATTTTATTATTATTATTATAATTATCAAGGACTTATTCTTATATTAAATAAAAAATAACTTTTATATGTATATATATATATATATACTTCATATATCTTTGCATTGTTACATTTGTTGATAATTCTATCAATAAAAAGATATATGATTCTTATGACAATTTATAATTTGATCATCAAGCAGTATTATACCAACATGTTCTCTAATATTAGTGCATTAATATCATACTAGTTGATGAAAGATCAGTATCAACTATGTTGTAATAAAATCGATTTTTGTATGTTATGTAAATAGTGTACAATAAGTTTATATTGATTTAATATTAACACATAGCTGTCAGTCAGGATGCTGCTTGCTTTTTCTCCCTTTCTTTTTCTCAGTGATCTTATAGAAAACCTATACATTTATATAAATCATAGAATAATGAACAGTAATATTAATAAAAGTAATTGTTAATATTTACCTTGTTTTGTAAGTACAATAAAGTATCACTTCACCACATATTATAGTCTACATCATCTTGTTCGAAAGTTACAAAAAATCCAACTAAAGTCAAGTAAACAATAACATTTCCTGCTAAAGTTAAATAGCAAGCACCTGGTTGTATCTGCAAGAATAAATTTCAAAATATGAAACTGGTAAAAAGAAAACAATGAAAGAAAAACAATCATAAAAACTTACGACTGGATTTCCATCAGGTGCTCGTGCCAATACAATAGGAAGAGCAAAGGATGATACAACAAATCCTATTGTAATAAATATGGCCAACTCTAAACACGGATTACTACTACTTGGTGAATCTTCTGAATAACGGCGTGCAATTATTGTTGGAATTGGTGCTAGTACATAGAATAAGACTACAAAAAATGGCCACCATACTCTAAAATTAAAAAAAAACATGTTTATAATAAATATTATTGCATGTATAAAAAATATAGTATTAAATGATATAAAAAACATACTCATATTGTGGTAATGCACAACCAAGGATAACTAATGTCATGCCAATAGAGCCCGAGAATGCAAGAAGAACCAATCTGCAATATATTTTATTTCAAGTAATCAATAACAAAAAGAAAGTATTTTCATGTTCATAAAAAAAGGCACTTACGCTGTTGAATGGTAATGGGCAGCAGATTACATAATATGAAACAGAAAATAATACAATTTTATATAAATATTAAACTGATATGTCTATAATATATATATTTGAATATATACTTTCTATGATATATTAAAATATGACTATACTATTGTCTCGATATATGATTATACTATTGTCTCGTTTTATATACATATATATTTGTGTAGATAAGGAAATAGTATTATTCTGCTAATAAGCTAATTAGCTTGTAAATAGCTAGAATGATATAAAATGTATATTCAATATTTCTGACTTTAAACCAAAACAAAGTTATGAGTTACAGAAATGTCGAGACAAAGCTTTCTCTCCTCACTTTTTAATATCATGTTGAAAACGACGAAGTTGACTACAATAATGACGAATTAAATAGCATAAATCTGATACACTTTCGATTTACATTGAAATAACAGATCAACAGATAAATAATGAAGTTTAAAGCTAGAGCTTAAGTGTGTATATACAAATATTTGACAGTGACAATTAAAGTAAAAAGGTTATGTTTCGATATTTCATTTTGTGTTTCACAGTTTTTAAAGAAACTTCCTCCCATTGATGCCATTTCTTCGAAATTTCACTAGGTGAAAAATCGCATATCAGACGATCAAGAACATGCCGAATAACCTTTTATTCCGGCCATTGCAGATCAATTTGATAAGTGTGTATATTTATCGAACTCTCACTTCATACATGTATACATATAACTATATGACGTAATTTATTTAAAGTCTAACACACTGGGTTGATAGAAAATTTCAAGTTTAATGTAAATGAATTTGGCTTAAGTTCGAATATATCTTTTCATTGATCGAAAAGAAAATTATAATAAAGATATTATTTCATGAAAATAATTTGCAAAAAGTTATGCAAGTATATTTTTTATATAATGATGACACACAATATTCTAAGTTTCCATAAGTGGATAGATATATTTCTATACGTTTCTATACGTGTATAGATATATGTTTGCCTAAAGATTTCTATTCAACGAATCAAATACGAACATTTAGCATTTTGTAGTTATGAAAAGTCATAGAATGTAATCGATCATTTATCTTAATCATATATTTCAAAATGATCTATTCGTGTAACAATAAATTATTAAAATAAATCAACATTTCATTCGCGTAGTAGATTTAAATAGAAATTTATAACAAAATGCATCCAATGATTTTTTTAAAGTTAAATAAAGATTTTCAATTAGAGATAGTAGAAATAATACTTGTAAATAATTAATTGGAGGATTAAGTAAGCGCGAATAGCATTAACCAATCATCAATATTGAACAACAAATAAGACAAGCTAGCTATGCGCACGCGCCTTAATTCGCGAATTTGATATTAGGGCGCTCAAGCAAGCCATGACAGTTTCGAATGTGGGGTGATCATTGGACTGGGTGATACTGTTGCCGAGTAGCAATTTCTAAAGATCGAATTGTGACCGTTGAGTATACATTTTTCTTTCGTTAAATCAAGCGTACAATGGGTGATACAAAAGGGTAAGTTAAATTATAATTATATAGGATCTGTTTCATTACCTAGGATTATTTTCGTCATTTTTATCGGTGTTTTCTTCGTTTAAGTATAAGACACGTAGGTGATTGTGTGTCTGTCGGTCTCAATTTTACGTTGTCATCATGTCGTCGTAAGGCTATATTTTCAGATATACAGATATTTTCTTTTTTCATGACTGCTAGATTCCACCTGAACAAAAATCGATCTTTTTTTTTTTAATCTATTTCATGTCAGTATTATTATTTTATATGATGCAAATGCTTCTTATCATTGGAGCGATCATGGCAGAATGGTGGCAACTAAACGTGACAAAGGGTTTTTTTTTTTATAAAAGTCAATCAAATCTAAGAATTATTTGATGTATAAAATTTAATATTTCATTTAAATTGCGTTTTTATAAGAACGAAATAAACTATTTTCATGAAAAAATAGGATGTTTGAGATTATCTCTTTTTTTTTTTTTTTTAATGATAATGCGATCTATATAGATTTTAATCGTATACATCAAATATTGTAACGTTATATATTAAATTAATTAATGTTGAGTAATAAAATAAAATAATTTATAATTTATGATTTATACAATGTACATATATTTCATTATTTATCATTAGCTACTATTGTTATGACTCACTCATTCTTATTCAAACCATACAACTTCAAATTTTAAATTAATCGTGAAAAGTTGGTTCATCAAATAATAATAATAATAATAATAATAATAATAATAATAATAATAATAATAATAATAATATTTAACTATTATTACTCTATTATGTATTAATAATATATCTTATTATTTTTATAGAGAAGACTTGGCGACAGCAATCCTTCGTAAGAAGGATAAGCCCAATAGATTAATTGTAGATGAAGCAACTGCAGATGATAATTCTGTAGTTGCCCTTTCCCAAGCAAAAATGGATGAATTACTATTGTTTCGTGGGGATACTGTACTATTAAGAGGAAAAAGACGCAAAGAAACAGTTTGCATTGTTCTTTCAGATGATACTTGCCCAGATGAAAAGATTCGTATGAATCGTGTGGTCAGAAATAATTTACGTGTTCGTTTAAGTGATGTTGTATCTGTTCATGCTTGTCCTGAAGTAAAATATGGTAAACGAATTCATATATTACCAATGGATGATACTGTAGATGGACTTGCAGGGTAAATTAGTTTATATAAATTATATATAATTTGATGAAACTATTAAAAATTATAATTGCTTACTATTTTATTCAATAATAATCATTGTTTTTAGAAACTTATTTGAAGTTTATTTGAAACCATACTTTTTGGAAGCATATCGTCCACTTCATAAGGATGATAATTTTATTGTTCGTGGTGGTATGCGAGCAGTCGAATTTAAAGTAGTTGAAACTGATCCGGGTCCATTCTGTATAGTTGCACCAGATACTGTAATTCACTGTGAAGGAGATCCTATAAAAAGAGAGGTTAATATCAGATTAATAATTTTTTTTGTTAATATCAATTTTTGTAATATCAAAATATTACATTTATATATAATTGTTTTTATAGGAGGAAGAAGAAGCGATTAATGCTGTAGGTTATGATGACATAGGTGGTGTGCGTAAACAATTGGCGCAAATCAAAGAAATGGTAGAATTACCGTTACGACATCCATCTCTGTTTAAAGCTATTGGAGTAAAGCCTCCACGTGGAATTTTGCTTTATGGTCCACCTGGTACTGGTAAAACACTTATTGCACGTGCAGTTGCAAATGAAACTGGAGCTTTCTTCTTCCTTATAAATGGTATGTGTATTTAAAAAAAAAAAGTTTTTAAATGTTTTGATTTAAAATTTAATTAAAATATTAAACATCAAGGAATATTAATATTTTATGTCATTAGGTCCTGAGATTATGAGTAAACTTGCTGGTGAATCGGAAAGTAACTTGAGAAAGGCATTTGAAGAAGCAGAGAAAAATTCTCCAGCGATTATCTTTATTGATGAGCTAGATGCAATAGCTCCTAAAAGAGAGAAGGTTTTTATTAATTGATTAGTATTTTTATTTTATTAGTAAAATACGTAATACACCACCTTCTGTATATTTTATATAGACCCATGGTGAGGTTGAGAGACGTATAGTCTCCCAGCTATTAACTTTGATGGATGGTATGAAGCAAAGCTCACACGTCATTGTAATGGCAGCTACAAATAGACCAAACAGTATTGATGGAGCTCTTCGTCGATTTGGGCGTTTTGATAGAGAAATCGATATTGGTATACCAGACGCAACAGGACGTTTGGAAATTCTAAGAATTCATACAAAAAATATGAAACTCGCAGATGATGTAGACTTAGAAGAGGTAAATATAGAATCATCATCGAGTATGATGTAAGAAGAATATAGATACATTTGTTTTAATTAAATGTATATTTAAAAAAAAATAATAATTTCTTACAATATTTTAGATCGCTGCAGAATCTCATGGACATGTTGGTGCTGATTTAGCTTCATTATGTTCTGAAGCTGCTTTACAACAAATTCGTGAAAAAATGGATCTCATTGACTTAGAAGATGACCATATTGACGCAGAAGTATTATCATCTCTTGCCGTTACTATGGAAAACTTTAAGGTAATAAACCTAAGTTTCCTTTAATATAAATATCGTTTATTCGTTTTAATTTTATTATTAATTTTTTATTTTAGTATGCAATGAGTAAAAGCAGTCCCAGTGCATTACGTGAAACAATTGTCGAAGTACCAACTGTTACATGGGATGACATTGGAGGTTTACAAAACGTCAAAATGGAATTGCAAGAATTGATACAGGTAAGATAATACTAATACATTTTTGATAACGAAGTATGGTATATATATATAAACGAATATAAAATAATTTTTATTAATATAACATTTTGTGATTCATAGTACCCAGTTGAGCATCCTGATAAGTTTTTGAAATTTGGTATGCAACCTTCAAGGGGAGTATTATTCTATGGACCTCCAGGTTGTGGTAAAACTTTGTTAGCCAAAGCAATTGCCAATGAATGTCAGGCAAATTTCATTTCAGTCAAAGGTCCAGAATTATTAACTATGTGGTTTGGTGAATCAGAAGCTAATGTTAGAGATGTTTTTGATAAAGTAAGTTCAACTTAAGTAATATATACATATAGAGAAAATATAATGCAAATAATCATTGATTTATTATTTAAAGGCAAGATCAGCTGCACCTTGTGTATTATTTTTTGATGAACTTGATTCTATTGCAAAATCTCGTGGAGGTACAGTTGGTGACGCCGGTGGAGCAGCTGATCGTGTGATAAACCAAATTTTAACTGAAATGGATGGAATGGGAGCAAAGAAAAATGTTTTCATTATTGGAGCAACTAATCGTCCTGATATTATTGATCCAGCTATTCTACGACCTGGTAGATTAGATCAACTCATTTATATACCATTACCAGATGAGAAGTCTCGTGAAGCAATATTCAAGGCCAATTTACGAAAATCACCTGTTGCTAAAGTAAGTATTGATAATTTATATAATATAATCATAATTTGTATATTTTTGTATTAGATTAATAGGAATAAAAATATTCTAGGACGTAGAATTGAGTTATATAGCCAAAGTAACTCATGGCTTCTCCGGAGCAGATTTAACAGAAATTTGTCAACGTGCGTGTAAACTTGCCATTAGACAATGTATTGAAACTGAAATTAGTCGAGAGAAAGATCGCGCGAATAATCCATCTGCATCAATGGATGTAAGTTTTATATTTAACTAGTACATATATATATTGTTTTTTTTAAATATTGATTATAAATTCTTACTCGTTTAATATTCATAGATGGAGGAAGATGATCCTGTGCCAGAAATTACTAGAGCACATTTTGAAGAAGCGATGAGGTTTGCAA